TGACAGAACACAGATCAGTGGCTGTTTGGAAAGGGAAGGCAGGATGGAGTGCAAAGGAACATAAGAAGATTTTGGGGGATGACAAGACATGTACCTATCTTGACTGTGCTGATGGTTCTATGGGTATATTCAAATGTCCAAACTTATCAAATTGTACACTTTGTGTTCAGTTTATTGTATGTCAATTACACCTCAGTAAAGCTGTTTTTTAAAAACACAAATTTCTGGATTCTATCACCAGAGCCTTTGTCTGTAAAAATATTTACCCATTTCGTTCGATCAAAATCAATCATTTTGATAGATTCCTACTGAAGTCTAAATATCCACTCACCTAACAGCAAGTATGATAACCTGGGAACATAAAGTTACTATTTTTCAAAATTATCTCAATATAGAAGCAACTTATACTACAAAGTATTCATCCTGGTGGATATGGAAAAACATGAGGGATAGTAAAAAAAAATAAATAGATAAAGGATTTATGAAGTTTAGTTTTCTAATGGCTAAGCAGAAATGGTATGATGACAAAGAAAATGGGGAGGCAAAAATAAACAGAAAAGCCGACGCACCTATGATCATCTAATCTATGACAAAGGAGGCAAGAATATACAATGGAGAAAAGACATTCTCTTCAATAAGTGGTGCTGGGAAAACTGGACAACTACATGTAAAAGAATGAAATAGAACATTCTCTAATACCATACACAAAAATAAACTCAAAATGGATTAAAGACCTAAATGTAAGGCCAGACACTATCAAACTCGTAGAGGAAAACATAGGAAGAACACTCTTTGACATAAATCACAGCAAGATCTTTTTTGACCCACCTCTTAGAGTAATGGAAATGAAAACAAAAATAAAGACATGGGACCTAATGAAACTTAAAAGCTTTTGCACAGCAAAGGAAACCATAAACAAGATGAAAAGACAACCCTCCGAATGGCAGAAAATATTTGCAAACGAAGCAACTGACAAAGGATTAATCTCCAAAATATACAAGCAGCTCATACAGCTCAATATCAGAAAAACAAACAACCCAATCCAAAAATGGGCAGAAGACCTAAACAGACATTTCTCCCAAGAAGATATACAGATTGCCAACAAACACATGAAAGGATGCTCAACATCACTAATCATTAGAGAAATGCAAATCAAAACCACAATGAGGTATCACCTCACACCGGTCAGAATGGCCATCACCAAAAAATCTACAAACAATAAATGCTGGAGAGGGTGTAGAGAAAAGGGAACCCTCTTGCACTGTTGGCGGGAATGTAAATTGATACAGCCACTATGGAGAACAGTATGGAGGTTCCTTAAAAAACTAAAAATAGAGCTACCATATGATCCAGCAATCCTACTCCTGGACACATATCTGGAGAAAACCGTAATTCAAAAAGATACATGCACTCCAATGTTCACTGCAGCACTACTTACAATAGCCAGGACATGGAAGCAACCTAAATGTCTACTGATGGATGAATGTATAAAGAAGATGTGGTACATACCATCTTTGCAAGATTACTGGAATATAACTCATCCATAAAAAAGAACGAAATAATGTCACTTGCAGCAACATGAATGGACCTAATCTAAAATTAAAATTGGAATCTAAAAAATGGTACAAATGAACTTATTTACAAAATAGAAATAGAGTCACAGATGTAGAAAACAAACTTACGGTTACCAAGGGGGAAAAAGGGGGAGGGATAAACTGGGAGATTGGGATTGACATACACACTACTATATATAAAATAGGTAACTAATAAGAACCTACTGTATAGCACAGGGAGCTCTACTCAATATTCTGTAATGACCTATATAGGAATACAATCTAAAAAAGACCAGATATATGTATAATGTACAACTGATTCACTTTGCTGTACAGCAGAAACTAACACAACATTGTAAATCAACTATATTCCAATAAAACTTAAAAAAAAAAATTTAAACAGAACCCAAGCCTAGTGTTAACACTAGTAAAACGGATGAAACCTATGATAATTAGACAACAATAATCTTAATTTGAAGAAAGGCATAGCATGGTATTCAAGTAATGGGTAACAGAGAAAGGCTGGTGTTCAAAAGTCCAGAAATAACACTGGAGACTAGGATATAGCAGAATTCTACTGCCATCTTTTTTTCCCTCAACATTTGTGCATCATGAGATAGGCAATGTGATAACTGCAAAATAAATGTCGTAAACCTATTTCATTAACTAACCATCAACCTTAAACTTGCTTTTCTAAAAACTGGTTAGATGTGGGATATATGTTAGGAATCATGATTTTGTACCTTGTATCAAATGCTTTATCTATTTCAAACAAACAAGGAAAATTCTCAGAGCTCTATTAACAAATGCTAATTTCTATTGATATAATAATAAATACCATAATTCAACCAAGTTGTAGATGGCATATAAGTACTGTATCTTCAATATAGAAGGGATATCAAGTTATTAGTGATAATTTAGTCATTATTATGAGTTAACATATTTTGTTATTTAAACGACATTCATCCATAATTAGAGAAGCTTTTTGCCTTCTTCAACTATCTGTTTTTAAAGGACTAATATTAGAAAGTTGGTAGTTAAAATTTTTCCCCCAAGTTATGCTAAAAGAAGAAAGTAAAATTCAGGTATATAAAAACAAGTGAGTTAAGTTATGGGAAAGTGAAAACAAAAGGACAAATTTTAATGGCATCTCTCCTAAATGTACCAATATATTTTACAGTATACTTTGAAGGATATTACCCAGTAACTTCAAAAAGGAGTAACATCCAATATATTTTATTATTAAAAAATAAATTAAGGGCTTCCCTGGTGGCACAGTGGTTGAGAGTCCGCCTGCCGATGCAGGTGACACGGGTTCGTGCCCCGGTCCGGGAAGATCCCACATGCCGTGGAGCGGCTGGGCCCGTGAGCTATGGCCGCTGAGCCTGCGTGTCCGGAGCCTGTGCTCCTCAACGAGAGAGGCCACAACAGTGAGAGGCCCGCGTACCGCAAAAAAAAAAATTAATTAAAAAATTAATTAATTAAAATCTAAAGAACGGTATTATATACTAGCTACTTTCAAAAAAGAAGAGGAAGAAATAAAAGTAATTTGAGATTTAAGGTTAGAAAAGAAAAGGTAGCAAGCGGAGAATCTAACAATACCTAGATTATTAAGCTAAGAATTTTTCATCAGAACATTTCACAAAAATCAAGACACTGGTAGGAAGGATATGAAATCACTTAATTCTGTCTGTTAATAAAATGGACTATTCATCTGTTCATAATGAAGTAAACAGAGGAAGGTTTTCATTTAAATAAAAAAATAAGTTAGAAGCTAAAAGGAATCCCATAATGCAAAGGTTTCATTTACTCTGCATTTTTTCAAGCATTCCAATCTTACTCAGAAATAATACAAGATATCCAAGGGCTTTAAAATCTAAGGCCTTTAATTAGGTTTTCAGTAATGACCATAAATGCCTTCTCAAAACCCCTTTCACTGAAAACAGAAGGCACTAGGCATTACATAACACCCTGAAAGCAGTGATTCCTTCTGATGCTGGTGAAGATACACATTAAATGGCAGGTTTTAGATCTTAATGTCTCCTCCAGGAAGAAAAAAAAAAGACAGCTCTGAAAATCACCCAAAAAATTAAAGTTACCAGTCTTTCTCAGGTTCCCAATGCAATTTTAAGTTATTTTTACAAGTACATAATTTGAAATTAATAGATAAACCCGGTAAGTATGATATGGTCTTCAACATGTGTTAGGCTTTCTGTTAAGTACAGTAAATATGAAGATACCGTTATTATGCTAATTGGCATCCTTTGCTTCTCTTTAGCTGTGCAAAATAAAGTTGAAATGATACATCCTGTAGTGGTATAATTTAAAAGATCCTTGATATGACACTAACAACTTTCAAACTCTGGTCACAAACTACATATAAATTGTTAGATTATTAAAATACACCTTTTTGAAAAATAATAAGATGACCATTTATACCTAAATAAGGTTTCCCAGGAAGATATGAAATACTTTAGCATATAAAAGTAGTTGCCCCTTTTCCATGAGGACAATGGTTGTTTCACAAAATAACTCATGTGATTCAAGGCAAATGATTCCTTTCAAATGCCACATTCTCTCCATGACTTTGAGGTATGCTTCAAGAGACTTGTATCCATGAGAAAAGGGCACATTTGGATAGAAGACCACAGTTACAAACACCAAGGACCCTTTCTTAGGTCAGGAGTGCCCTTAAGAGTTACATTAACAGAGAATAAGAGATAGCTCCTGAAGCCATTTCTTTTACAACCTACAACTAAATTTGGATATGTAAAGGGTAATTCAAGACACAGCTATTTACATATGTGCTATGTCATGTGCGCCTATTTTAAACAGTGGCTTTTTCAGGACACTCCTATTCAAACACTAATGAAAAAACCTTATTCTACCAAACCACAATCTTCTATTTTTGGCAAGGTAGTATAGTGTAAACAAAACAAAACAGAAACAAACAAAAACAACAATGACAAAAAACTAGCTATAACAGTGGTTGAGGCAAAAGTTCCATGTCAAACAACAGTAGGGAAA